TCTTAGCCATTTTTGAGGCTTGGTCTCTGAAGGTCCCCTAGATTCTCTTGGGACAAATAACCTACTTATCTAAAAATAACAGTCAGTCCAAAGGGGTGTCCTTAGCAGTTCACTTTCTAAGGCTTTATTCTTTCATGCTTTTGAAAGCCCCTATCAACGTGGCTCCTGTGAAATGCATCTTTGCTGGATGGAAAAAGCTGTGTTAATATATTAAAATGCAGTGTTGCCAGAAAACTGACGCTTAGAAATCCCTCTGTAGCAAGGTTTAGTTGTCCTGCTGTGGTCTAAGTTTGTGAGAGAGTATTTGAGAAGATTCATGTTGCTGTGCTTTAACCCGTCCAGTTATGCTGGGCTAATATAATCGATCCAGCAGATGGTGGCCATATTAGATTAAACCTCCGAAATATATTTTGCTGTATCATTAAGCAAAATAAAATACCAGTGTCTAGGTCACATTTCACCACAAAATCAAAATAAGAAATTATATTTAGCTACTAAAATTAAGCTTTCTAAAATTTGCACAAATTGTACATGATTATTCTCATGACATTTAAGAATGTTTTCTTGAGAATGTTTTCTAAGAATGAAATTTATAAAGAGTTCATTGTAAAAAGATTTTTTAATTTAAATTATAAAGTATTTGCATATCCAGGTAGTATGTTGTATTTATGGAAGCTTGTTTTCGCCACTGAATAAAACTTTTTATCTCGCAATTCTGAGAAATAAAGATATTGCGAGATAAAAAGTCAGAATTGCGAGATATAAAGTCAGAATTGCGAGATATAAAGTCAGAAATGCATGTTATAAAGTCAGAATTGCGAGATATAAAGTCAGAAATGCGAGATGTAAAGTCAGAATTGCGTGATATAAAGTCAGAACTGCATGATATAAAGTCAGAACTGCGTGATATAAAGTCAGAATTGGGTGGTATAAAGTCGCAATTGCGTGATATAAAATCAGAATTACGTGATATAAAGTCAGAAATACGTGATATAAAGTCAGAAATGCGTGATATAAAGTCGCAATTCTGAGAAAAAAGACAGAAGTGCGACTTTTTATCTCACAATTCTGACTTATTCTCACAATTGCGAGTTTACATCTCGCAATTCTGACTTTATAACACATAATTGCGAGTTTATATGTCGAAATTCTGACATCTTTTCTCAGAATTGTGAGATACCTGTATAAATTCGCAATTGTGAGTTATCAGGCCAATTCTAAGGGGAAACAAATACTAACTTTTCCCCCCTCAGAATAGTTTAAATCTCGCAATTCTGACTTTATATCTCACAATTCTGACTTTATAACACGCAATTGCGACTTTATACAGTATCTAGCAATTCTGACTTTATAACTCGCAATTCTGACTTTATATCTCACAATTCTGAGAAATAATGTCAGAATTGTGAGATAAAAAGTCGCAATTACCTTTTATATGTTTCATTCTATGGCGGAAACAAGCTTCCATATGTATTGCCTTAATCCATTAATGCTTATAATATCAATATATATATATATATATAGTTTTTTATACTTTTTATAGTTTTTTTCATTCCACTCATTAGAAAATTCCAAGTTCACCCGCCACACTTTGAGCTCTCATTCTACTCTAATTTTGCAGTCAGCTAGTAATCTTAATTTGGTAAACATTATGTCACTTGAGGAGTCTGATGATTTTCAGGCTGACATTATGACCCCAGTCATGCTACTGACAGTTTTCATGAGATTCACCTCTTGGCCGGCCTGACATTTGAAGTCTTCTGATGGCCTACAGTGTTCTTAAACAGTGGCCTTGTCTTTGTGATGTTCTGATACAGTGTCCATGCGTTTAAAGAGCCCTTGGAGGTAGAAGGGGGAAGGTTTCTCAAAATGAAGATGGATAAGATCTTTCTCTGTTCTCTTTCACTCTCTCTATCTTCCTCGGTCTCTCTCTCTCTCTCTCTCTATCTTTGGCCCTGAGCAGTGGCCTCGATGACCCCATCTCCTCTCGGCTCCTTGACCCCTGTGTGTGAGGTTACGGCCCGGCTTCTCCACATGGGAGTCATGCCTGCTGCCTAAGTCCCGCTCTCTTTTCCAACCTCTCCTGCAGATCCAGATGAAAGGAGCATTGAGAGGCTGTCCCATCACCCCAAACCCCCTCCAGCCCTCCTTGGACAGAGCAAGAAATGGGGGGATGAAAGCTCCTCTGGCCAAATGCAAATCCCCCTCTATCCCAACTCAACCCTGCTGCTAGATCTCCACACCGTCTCTTTATCAGAGGGATCTACTGAGAGGACGCTCCACGTGACCCTGATTTCAAACCATATCAGAATCCCCTCCCAATCCAGGCCGTAGTTCCCTCTCTAGGGTGTAGGGTGGGGTCACGTGGACCCCTATCCAAAGGTCATAACCTCTTGACTCTCAATTAGCACTCCCTGTATTCAACGCTGCTCTTGTTTCTGAGGTCGGGCCTGATGGAAAAGGGGGACATGGGTGGTGGGCGGCGCTTTGCAACACAATGCTTCAATCGGCGGCCCATGCGGCTTTTCTGAGCGGTGCTGTAAACAAGCCCAAAGAAAAGGATTAGTTAAGAGCCATTGAAGGCTTTGATTGACTTAATCTGTCTTTAGGGGATAGGAAGTTTGATGGGGTTTTAAATGCTCCGAGGACGACCCCAGCTCCACCTGGCTTCATGAACGCGGAGGCTCGCGGCTCAGCAGGGTTATGTCAGGAGGTCTCCACCTGTGGAAAAAATCCCTGTAAATTAAAGTCAACCTGACATTTATCCCAAGGAACAACCCTTTGGCTGTGCTCCACAGAAATGAGGCAGGGAAGATGGTATAATTAATTTATGGAGCATTCGTCTCGCTTTGACACATTGGCGAAAGAATGAAAGAAAGAACTCTTGACCGACTCTTTATAGGCTCACTCTGTTTCTTAGCCTTGTATGGTATTTATCTTGTTTTAAACCTGCATACCCTTTTATGATTTATATTGGCACTCCTTAGAGCATGGGAACAGTACTGTGATGTCACTCTGAGAAAGTACATAAAGCTGAAGGAATATTAAGTGCTGTTAACACGCTGTAGTCAGCACTTCCTTTACATTAAAGAACATCATCTATCTCAGTTAGTTTAAGACCAATCGCTTCACGAACTATCTTTGTACTTGTTCTGTCTTTCCCCGTCATTAATCTTGGATATCCAGATTCAATTCCAGTTCACAAGCTCTCAGTTCAGTTAGCTAGCTAGTTCTTCTTTTAGAGATCCATTACAAGGATTAGCTCAAAAGAATAATTTTAAGATTAAAGAAAAAATAAGATTATGCTGTATTTTTGATGTCACCTCCTAAAAGAACCGGTTTAAATGTTTTCGTTCACAAACCAGTTGTGTTCCTCGCTTGAACATTTCACAAAGGGTTAGCCCACAGTTCTCCTGTTTTATGCCTTCCAGTTTAGTCCTGTAAGTTTGGGGTTTAAAACGTGTCTGGCATTGGCTTGCAGCAGGGAAAGTTTGAAGGTGAATGCCTCTCTTTAACACCTTGTCATGCCTTTAGGGGAACTGAGTGGAGGGTATAACTATGTGTGTGTGTGTGTGTGTGTGTGTTTGTTTATTTTCTGTAGCTCAAGCCCAGCTGTGCTCATGTTATGTTGTCACCTCATGCTGAAGGATGAGGCACTTTTGAGTTTTCTACCCAAAACACAGTAGTGTTTTCCTTTTACTCCAATGAATACATTTTCTGAGGAGACCCTTTTTGGTTCAGTTAGATGCTGTGTATATATATAAGTCTTCTAATATCAAAGTCTATGGAAGCTTGTTTCCACCATAGAATGAAAAATATAAAAGGTAATTGCGACTTTTTATCTCACAATTCTGACATTATTTCTCAGAATTGTGAGATAAGAATTGCGAGCTATAAAGTTAGAATTGCGTGATATAAAGTCGCAATTGCAAGATATAAAGTCAGAATTGCCAACCCGATCTCACGACCAAGTCGTACGAATTCGACGAATGATTAAAAAGTGGCTAATTCGTAACAATTCATACGACCTCACTCGTACGAATTAATACGATTTTGCTAAATCGTACATATTTTACGAATTGGCCAATTCGTATGAATTCGTACGAATGACCTACCCCTTACCCCGCCCCTAAACTTAACCATCACGTGGGTTAAGACAAATCGTACGAATTAGTACGAGTGAGGTCGTACGAATTAGTACGAATTAGCCACTTTTTAATCATGCGTCGAATTCGTACGAATTGGTCGTGAGATAGTTTTGGAATTGCGTGACATAAAGGCAGAATTGCGAGATATAAAGTTAGAATTGCGAGTTATAAAGTCAGAATTGTGAGATATAAAGTCAGAATTGTGTGATATAAAGTCGCAATTGCCTGTTATAAAGCCAGAATTGCAAGATATAAAGTCAGAATGGCATGATATAGTCGCAATTGCGAGATACAAAGTCAGAATTGCGAGATATAAAGTCTGAATTGTGAGATATAAAGTCAGAATTGCGAGATATAAAGTCGCAATTGCGAGATACAAAGTCAGAATTGCGAGATGTAAAGTCTGAATTGCGAGATATAGTCAGAATTGCGAGATTTAAAGTCAGAATTGCGAGATATAAAGTCAGAATTGCGTGATATAAAGTCGCAATTGCAAGATATAAAGTCAGAATTGCGAGATATAAAGTCAGAATTGAAGTCAGAACTTTATAAAGTCAGAACTTTATATCTTGCAATTGCGACTTTATATCACACAATTCTGAATTTATATTTCGCAATTCTGATTTTAAATCTCGCATTTCTGACTTTATATCTCGCAATTCTGAGAAATAAAGTCAGAATTGTGAGATATAAACTTGCAATTGTGGGGAAAAAAAGTCTGAATTGTGAGATAAGTCACAATTATTTTTTTTTTATTTGTTTATTCAGTGGCGGAAACAAGCTTCCATAAAAGTGTCTGTCACTGCAGGTTTTGTGCTAGTTTCATTTTTCCTTGTTTTTGTTTCTCCTCAGAGTTCCCGCAGCTGAGAAGACTTTCAGATGACGCGTTTTTTGGGGACAACGAGAAAGGTATTTGTGTAAAATGTCTTGATTGTTTTCATATGTGTCAGTATAAATGCATCAGACTTGATTTGCTTCATTTGATCTCATTTCCTCTTATTTAAATTCTTTACTCATTGTTGTTGGTGAAGAGCAATTTCACACAGTACAGCACAGAGACCTTTCCAGAGGCTTTGTAAAACTCTGCCAGACAGCTTCATTCTTGACACTCCCAAATTTCTAAGCAGCCAGATGAGAGCAGAGAAAAGTAGAGTAGATGTAAGGGGTCAGAAGAGGTGGGAGTTTGACTTATCTGTCCATCCTGAGAGTTTGGAACGGGGTGTAGAAATCTGTTAAGTGTTTGCAGGTGTCTTCCTTTAACACATTCAGACACTACATACTCATGAGTCATTTTTCTTCAATGGTTCATTTCTCCAGAGTAAGTGCATTCCCAAATTGCATCAGGTTTGTGCCTCTTTTTCTTTTTTTGGCGCCTCTATTCGTCTGTTTTTGGATCCCTGCTTGAAAGATTGGGGTTTCTGAAGCACCTGGCTACTTTCACCATCTCCGAGGTGCATGTTCTTCTCTTTAAGCTGAGCTTTTATTGTCCATAGTGTAATATTTTAAGACTGTGCTGCTGACGGATAAGGTTTGACCTTACCACCTGATCCTTTACAAAGACAGATACCAATCAGTTCTGAATCTAGTTTGAGATTTAAAGTGATAGTACACCCAAAAAATGAACTTTCTGTCATCATTTACTCACCCTCATGTCTTTTCAAACCTGTATGACTTTTTTTTCCTTCTGCAGAAAACTAAAGAGCTGTTTTTTCTTCTTGGTGAGCGGTCAGCTCTCATCTCAGATTGCTCACTCCCATCTGCTGCTCAGTAAAGACTTGTCATGTATAACTGTTATTAATATGTGAGGAGTAAGTAGGACCTAGAAGAGACTAGACACAATGCTGACATACTGAGATGTATTGTGCAAGTATAGAAATAGCAAAAGCATGAATAAGTGATGGAGCTTTTAGGGTGTTTGTCTTTTGAAAGAAAGCACTATCCTTGATGGATCTACAGTATAGTATCGGTTTATTTGTCTTACAGAAGCCAAAAGGTGGCTCTAGTTGTATTAATGTAGTATTTAGAAGGGTTTTTTTTTAATGTTTAATCCTTTTAGGTGTGTTTTTGTGTAATTTTATTAGGTGTGTTTTTGTGAAATTTTTCCAAACATTGATTTTTCCAAACCTGGATGATGTTTTGCCAGATTGGTCAGTGAAGCTAAACAGCATTGGTTCACATGAGCAATCATGGCGCATTTGAATTTTTAATACACTTTTAGGGTGTGATGTTCACACTTGGCAGGATTGGTTTTATTAAAACGAACCCTGGTGCAATTGCTCTGTTATCGCGTTCATTTGAATAAGTGTGAACGCTGCCATACGAACCCTGATGCGCACCTAACAAGCGGACTGAAACCTACTTTTTCAGGGATTGATGTCTCTCCTTGCAGCAGATCTTCATTTGTGTGTGCAATTCTGACTCTTTTACACATCTTATAAGCTCTTCATGACTTTTCAGATGGCAGTGTGAACGCTGAGCAAACCAGGACTCAATTTTTTTATATATTTTTTTTTATTGGTTCCGACCAAAAGAACCAAGAGAACTGAACTACTAGTAGCCTATGAATAGACCGTTAGTCTATTGCTGTCATGTTTGGGTGTACTGTTCCTTTAAAAAAACATCTATTTTTTTTTTTATCATGTCCCCATGTGACCCTTGACTCTCTGGAATATTAAAAAAAAAAAGACATCTGAGTGACCAACTGCACTGTTCAGAATGTCAGAGTTAAAGTAAGACAATTATCCCATTGTTGCAATGGTTTGATTTTTGTTCCAAACCTAAATTCTCCAAGGATATGCAGAAATTTTAGGCAAATGCATTTTTCTGTTTTGCTTGGTTTGAATCCATTTTAAACCCCCAGCCGCAGAGCACAACTATGTAAATGTCTTCCATTTTGAGTTAGAAGCCATTCTCCTGAGATTGCATATTTAAAGAAAATTATTATTTGTGAAGATTTGTACTGATATCTTCTCGAAGACTCTTATTAAATACTCCAATTCCAACAATCTGAGAATGTCCCAACACACTGACGTCCCTGTAGTCTTCAGCCAGGTCTGCTTCTCGACTCAAGTGTGATGTTCTTGGCTGTTTGGGGCTTTTCACAGAGAGGTGAATGTGTGTGAATGCCCACACAGAAAATGAAATCATAGCCTCAAAGGAAACGTTCCCAGAAAAAGGAAAATTCTGTCATCATCTACTCATCCTCATGTTGTTCCATGAGTTCTTTTACTTCTTTATTTGGGTGGAAGGCACCTTTTTGTCTCATTTATTGTTTGTTTGCGGTGTTGTTTAGTGCCACTAGTGTCTATGAAATTGCACACTGCTGCTTTTAGACAATGATTCTAGAAAATAC